AGTGCACTTGCTGACGGACAGCCAGAATGCGGAGCGTATTGTTGATCACGGCAGTCGGAAGGCACACTTGCAGGAGTGGGCCTTGAAGATTTTCTGGTGGTGCAAGGAGCACCAGGTGCAGTTGAGTGTGTCCTGGATCCCTCGTGAGTTGAATGAGGTTGCCGACTACTTCAGCAAGTTGAAGGATGGGGACGACTGGAAGCTGAACCCAGTCTGGTTTGAGGTTCTCGACCGCAAGTGGGGCCCACACACGGTGGATCGCTTCGCGTCGGCGGGGAATGCCCAGCTAAAGCGGTTCAACTTCTTGTTTCGGTGTCCGGGGGCCGAGGCAGTGAATTGCTTCTCGCAGGCGTGGGGAAAAGAAAACAACTGGTGTAACCCACCATTCGCTTTGGTGGGCAGGGTGCTGGAGTTTATGAAGAGCCAGGCGGCGACCGGGACGGTTGTCCTGCCAGTGTGGAAGTCGGCGGTGTGGTGGCCGTTGCTGTGCCCCCGCGAGGGTGAGTTGGCGCAGTTTGTCACTGGCTGCTTCGAGCTGCCTCATAAGCAACAGGATCTTTTCTTGCCAGGGGAAACCGCTGCGAATGAGTTTTGGTGTTGGGGCCCCCAGGTGGCGGGTGTGGGCAGTGCGGGTTTCCTTCCAGAACCGGTGGAGGTGGCGCGCTCCGCTGGCAACCCCTCGAGAGTAACCGGCACTGACAGGGAACCGGTGTGTGCCCTCGCTTGCCTTTGTGCTGGGCCGTTCAGACGCCTTTGCCGCGTCCTTTTGGGAGCGAGCGGGGAGGCTGGTCGCACCAAGCCATCTCGGGCTACTGGCGGAGAGTCAAGCGTTTGCCGCGTCATCGCGGGCGGCCTCCACGAAGAAGGTGTACACGTATCCGTGGGAAGGTTTTAAGTCGTGGTGCCGTGCGGGCGGCTACTGCTACCTACCGGCAAGCCCGGTCGTGGTGGGGATGTACTTAACATCGGTGGCTAAAACGGCGTCAAGTTACGCATCCGTTAAGCTGGCGAGTGCTGCGATTTTCATGCAGCATGACTTGGCGTGTGAGGGGGCGAACCCGACGAAGCACCCCTTTTGCAAGGCTGTGCGCGCGGCGGCGAAACGCTCGCTCGGGACGGCTGTGCTGAATCGTAAGGAGCCCCTCACCCTTGAGGTGATCGTGGCCGTCGTCCGGCTGTTGGCCTTCGCCGGTGCCCCAGTGTGGAGTGTCATGATGGCCGCGTACACGGCCTTGTGTTTCGCGGG